TACTTGCTTGTTTGTACTTTTATAATTATATTAGTTGTATTATATGTTATTTAATCTAAAATTGTATAACGTTAATATTACTTTCAAGTTAATATTTGCTTATTTATACTTCTGTAATTGTATTAGTTGGAATAAAATTTATACGTTTATGTTTTTATCATATTATTAATTTTATATTTTTTTTGTTAATATTTATATAATTTTTTTATTTATATTAGTTATACTGTATGTTATTCAACTAAAATATAATTTGATTATTATATGCTTATCTATAGAAATTAAAACTATTTTAATTTTTATTGTGATATTAATAGTAATTTATTTATTGCATTTAAATTAATTGTATTAATGATTTATTTTGCATTTGTTATATATTTTTTTTACAGTGGATTGTTGTAGTTCTCGCTGCATGGAGGCTGTTGAATCCATCCAACCGCTATAACGGCCAAATCCATTTGGCCTCTAGAGACGAGTTTAGGAGGAGGTTCCTACTGATGTGGTTCTGGAGACTCTAGCTTCAGATGTTGATATACAGGCTGAGTCTCCCAGTGATGAGGATACACCTGTGGCTACCTCCCAACAGAGACAGGGATGGGGGCAAGCTAAGCCCGTGCAGATGCCTACAAATGGGATGAAGATCCCATTAGAGCTAGATGAGTATGGAGGTTTGCCACAACAGGTTAGACGACAAATTATGGTCCAATTGCGGGAGAATCTCCCATATGCTTACACATTGTGGGGACAGGTTCGTCGTGAGCATCGGGACATGTATTGGAATATATTTAGTGTACGCCCTAAACACTTAATTTCTATCTACAAATTAGATATTTTCAATTTCTATCTTCAAATTTTAAGTAATTTGAATTTTTTTGTTAGGTTAAATGCTAAATTTGGTCCCTCAACTTTAGTGAGTTGCACATTTTTGGTCCCTCAACAATTTTTTGCACTTTTTGATCCCTCAACTATACGAAATGCACTCCGTTAATCCTTCTGTTAATTTGGGCCGTTAACTCGCCCATGTGGCATTTTTTATAGTTTTTTTGATGACGTGGCAAAAACAAATTAAAAACGTGTCAACGTAAAATTTTTTTTAATTACAACTCATGCCACCTCACATTATTATTATTTATATTTTTAAAAAATAAAATAAAATAATTCTATCCATCTTCTTCCTTTCTTTTTTTCTTTTTCTTCCTCTTCTTTCTTCCTCATCTTCCTCGGGTCTTTCTTCCTCTTCTTCCTCAGGTCATCGAACGAAACCTAGCCATTGGGTTCGGTGGAACCCAACCTAGGTTTGACGGAACCCAGCCACTGGGTTCCGTTGAACCCAGCAGATCTGGGTTTGATGGAATCCATTTGCTGGGTTCGACGAAACCCAGTGGCTGGGTTCGACGAAACCCAGTGGCTGGGTTC